ACGGAGACTTGCCACGGTCTCCAACCCTCCTCCTTTCTCATCCGGGCTTGGGACCGGCCATGGCGGAATTGTGCTTGGATTTGATACTTTAAATTTATTATAAACGGCATTAGAACAAACCGCTTGCGCCACGTATCTATTGCCTCATACATTAGTGTTTTCGTTTCTTGTTCCGTACTTACCATGATTTTTGTTTCTTGTCGACTGAATTTTTATGCTGCCATCTCGAAGTATTCTTTCCTTACTGGTATGGACTGAAACTGATTTGCGATTCAGTTCAAACCGGTAATACGACGATTTTACCGGATGATTCCTAAGCCTCAGCATTGTTGCCTGTGTGTTTAAGTTTACGTCATAACTTTGATAAAGGCTCATTTAATCTTAGGCAGTAATTCGATTAAAAATACTCACATTACCATTCTTGACTAAAAGGAAGATTAGTTTCACTCGATACCAGATGAAAGGATTGCCACTCTGGAAGGTGACACGTATATTTGAACTGTGCAGTGGTGTCATGTATGATTAAATGCTTGCAGTATGTTAAAGTACAGGTTATGCATTATTGATGAAAATGATTACTGGTAAACTTGCTAGTAAATCCATAATACCGGGGTTAGTTCTTATTATATTTGCCCATGGATCAAAGTATATTCCTTCGTGTTGGACGCAACAAAATCATACTGCTTTGCGCCATGCACTGCAGGTGCTAAGATGCCATGTATTCTTGGCCTAGTTATTAAATGGTGCCCTTATGCTACTACCAGCGGGTGGTTGTAGGTGCAACTACGCCGTGCGAATCCGTAGAAATGATAGGAAAATGACTCCTAATTGTCGGTTTTTATTCTGTGGTAAACAAAAGTCACATTCTTCCCAGAACTGCAGGAGGGAGGGTTCATGAGCAAGTGATGTGCTATGTAGTAATTTTGCCGCAGAAGGTAGACCTTTGATGAATTTGTAACGAGAATCATATACATTCACAATTAATACATATGTCAAATATATACTTGTAACGTTTCGGTAGCGGCTGTCTTAATATCTTTGCTTGACATGGCATTTTAGTGCATTTCGCTTGCATGTAACGATGTTTGGTTGTTAAATGGGCACAGATATTTGGTGCATGTGAACGACGTAAACGAAGCCATGCGTGATCAGGAAATGAAAAGCAATTGGAGTACCACAAGAATGACAAAGTAGAGATTACAGTAGCTTAGTCCGAAGCTACCGTTTCTATTCCAAGATACTTGATCAAAGGTATCATTCTTGACTTTCGCTGTGGAGTTGATCGTCGATATGAGAACCTCCGTAGCGGGCTTCAGCGCGTCCTCTACATCGTCAATAAAGATCATGGGATTGTAATTTCCCACTACTAGGTTGTAGTCGATCAGCAGTTCTGTAGCTTGGCCTTCAGTCTTGTACAGTGCTAGGTAGCACGCCCAAACGCCGCTGTCTTCCTCCCTCGCGTCGATGATCTCCATGCGGAATTCCGGCTTTTCGTCGTCGTAGTAGAAGTGGTACCGACAGTCGTTGGCGGTGACGTGGACAACATGGGGCCTCTGTTCTGTCGTTTCTAATTGAGACGTCAGTTTCTGCGTGATTTTCGGAATACCATTGTCCATTTTCAACCAAATCGCGTTGTCCAGTGTCCACGTCACAATGAACCTCTCGTACTCACTACCACCTTCAACATTATTGTGTGGCTCAACGTCAGGGCACGTGAATGTCCACGTTCTTCCTCGCTGGATCCTCGTAATTTCTGAAAAAGACAGCGTCAGACAGTTTAAAGCGTCCAGTAGCATGCTAAGATATGATTGACTGTCTTCACGTTTAAGCAACAAACATAGTTGATTTTCATGTAAGATAGGTTATTGATAAGGCAGAACTGTATAATAAGTTAGAACCGGCATGGTAACATTGGACATTATGTTACAAAATTGATTATGGAAGGCTGTAAGCTTTCAGATCTCTAAACTGGCCAAGTAACGAAGGCGAGAAACGCGTCGTTGAAAATTGGAGTTGTAGTCTCATAAAAATAATTGTTTCTGACTGAGTGGATTTCGAAGGAAACATGGGATGGACATTGTATGACTATTGTGTACTATACATACTATTGATCATGACGAATAGCAATCTTGAAACTCATGTATTGGACAACATGACTGTGAATCTCACACGCTCTAGCAAGAACACACCATGTTATCATTACAGTTTGCGTTTATGAGCTTGCTGGCCATCTACTGTGGTGTAAATCTCTTGCTTAAGGGAATTGGCAGCTAGAAATAAAATGTACACCACCCATGGATTCGAACCCGCACCTCTAAACTTGAAAGACTTTTACCTGACAGTCCCTGCTGTTTACCTATTCCTTAGAAAGTAGTGATAAACTAGGAAACAGAATGTCAGATATCGTTTTTTACAAGTCAGATTAAGTAGGATGGCATGAAGATGGCTTTATCTACATTCATGTTGTGATGAAAAAAGGTGATACCAAAGCTTGCTTAACATCATAGCCGCTAGTTGAACCCCAGAAATGTAGTCAGCATATTTCATGATGTTCAGGTTTTACAGGGTGAGAAATGGAATGCAGCTGCTACCGGCTAATATCGCTCCTTTCGGTGTCCGGCAAGGCCTTTGCTCATCGCTCGCTGGCAAGGTTGGCCATACGTCGCCAGATTTCGCTGCCCGCAGCAGTTCGGTTTCACTGCTTAATGCTCTTCTTAGCGTTCAAAATCGTCGATATCCCACACCTTCTGTTGAAGCTTTTATGCCACCTACGCAGTGGGACGAGCACTGTTATTCCTGACTGACTCAAATCAGTCAGGACGGTTTCCTACATTGTCAGAAATGTTACAGGAGTGTGTATTGAACCATGCCCTCTTTTCTCAAGATATCAGAGAGTACATGACGCGACCCCGGAACTGCCGAGTTGGTGCCCCTGTATTCACGGATTTGGTCTACGCAGACGACATCGGGCTTCTTCTTTCTTTGGTGTCCTTCTCGTTTTTTTTCACACAGCGTTCAGAAACACCTTAAACAAGCTCGATCTGAAGATTTCCTTGCGAAAAACGAAAATACCCAACGTGGGAACGGGCTTGGCAGCCGTCAACGTTCACGTGGACGATCATACAGTTTTTGGCGTAGGAACGATCCGATACCTCAAGAACTTATGTAGGAGTTGTAGATCTGCGGTATTTATTGTCTTGGCCTTGCAGCTTCAGCCATGAACGATGTGTCGAACGTCTCGCAGCATACTGTAAGTTACAACTCTACCCTGACAGACCTGCAGTTTGCCCATTTAGCTGTATGCAGCCGAGGCCTGGTAGCTGCGGAATCCGAATGTAAACAACATTCAGGTTTTTTAACGGCAGAAGAAAAAGCGAATCCTCAGCATTAAGTGGCATGACAGACTTCGTTCGTAACTTGACCATCATCGAACCATCGATTACCCTCCATCGGCAACACAATCGACCAATGCTAAACTGCCTTGTTCGATCACATGGCGAGACTGGCAACGGGATACAGCTCGCATTGCTCTGACTGCAGCTGTAAACATTCACAAAGGAGTCTCTACTACCGTCATTTTTCTGGTGACAGATCACGGGACACATGTACGAAGCAGCTTGCTCGTACAGGCCCTCCAGTTTATGAAAAATGCAGCGCCACCACATTGTTTTTTGTGTAAATCTTGCGTTTTTTTATTGTTTTCGCTGTCAGTTCTAATGAAGGCAGTAAGCCTGAAACTCATAATACCGACCATTAATGGGAGCG